TTTAAACTTTTATGCAGTATTTAGCACGCAATGCAACTCACAGAGTGCAGTTTTAAAATCTATAACGCCTGCCCACCCCCCCCCCCCCTCCCCCACCCCCTCCCTCCCTCCCTCCCTCCCTCCCCAGTCCACCTCCAAACGCCAAAGCTTTAGCTATATTCATTTTCAGGCCATTTTCGTACCATCAAAGTGGGCAATTAAGATGCATTAGTTACCTGGAAATCGTAAAGCTCCAGCCAGACACAAGCCATTTGTTTCCCCCCCCTCCCCCCCCAGGGATGACAACACTGGACCACAAAAGATTTGGGTTGGAAACAGGGGGGAAAAACCCACTGCAATTGTAAATGGCAACTACTGTCATGTTTGTAACTCGAAAACCTACCCGAGGGCAAAACAACAGGACACAAGACATAAACTGGGGGGGGGGGATGAAAGGTGAGGCATTAAAAAGAGCAACCCATCGTTTTAATAAAATGATAAAGGAGGGAGGGCGCGGCGTGCAAATTGCTCTAATTCTTTTTTTTGGAAAAAAAAGATAAAGACACCTCTAGTAGCAGTTTGTTGCACATTCGAACAAATCTTTATCTCTGGGTATATGTAGGTGAAATGTAATATGAAGCTGACAGTTGGCAGCTGCAGTCTCTCTCTCTCTCTCTCTCTCCAGAAAGAATCGAATAAGAGCATTAGCCAGTCCCTAAAGAGCAGGCGACAGGTGTTCGCTCCCCCTTCATTTGTTTCCCTCTTTCCCTGCCAGTTGCATGTATCTGTCATACTTATTATATCCAAACTACAAGGGCTCTTTCTTTTTCCCTGAGCTACTTTCTTGCAGAAAGTGAATTATTTTATTTTTTTGGGTCCATCATCAGCGTTAAGTCGTTTATCCCGTGTTTGCGCAGCACACGTTGTCTCGGTGGCTATCATAAGGCTTCTTTTATTTATTATTGCACGTTGATTGCATCCTCTGGTGTGACTTGTGTGAATTAAGGGGATGTGGGGTGGGGTGTGTGGTTGGTGGTTGTGCTTTTTTTTTTTAGCGTGAGTCAAGTTGACAGCGAGTGCAAATGTTTATCACGGGATTTAAACCGAGTGGGACCACCCCCACTGTCGGGGGCAAAGTCTGAGTTCATGTTCACTTTGTCCATTTACTGGAGCATTGGTGACACGATGGGGTGAACTTGTACACCATTGCGGGGTGTGGGACATTCTGCACTGAGACCCCAGTCATGCAAACCTACTGTCTGCCCACGAAGGCGAGTGGGAAGGTCTTAAATTTTAAATGCAACGTTAAACTCGCAGTTTTGGGATAGTTTAGTGTTGAGTGGTCCCTCGTTCGATGGGTTTATCCACAGCAGCACAGTGGTGTGGGGGGGTGGGGGGTTGGGGGAGGGGGAGGGGGGTCAATGCCATCTGATGGAGTTTTCGGTTGATGCGCAACAAGTTGGCGATCAGAGGCAATAAAAATCCGCAATAGTAGTAGTAGTAGTAGTAGTAGTAATAATAATAATAATAAAGAGCAGTGCTGGCTCCTTGCCACCAGTCGTAATTGGGGCTCAGTCGTTACACAGACTGGTCAGCGGATCTCGCAGCTGTCGCTGAAGTCTTTTGTTCCGGACAAACAGGCGATCCCGGTTTCTCAGTATATTTTCATCAGCATTCAAGGAGGGCTCGAGAAAATAATGCTGATAACAGGGGGAGGGGGCTGTGTGCATCCTCTCTACCCCTCCTCTCCTCTCCTCTCTCCTCCTCCTCCTCCCCACACACACACACCACTCCACCAAATAAGCGAACTCCCTTTGGCGATCTCTGCGTCCGAGGAGTCCAAGCGATTTGGTTTACAACTTCGAAGAACTTTTTTAGAAAGTTTCTAATCGAATGATAACGGACGGGTTGATTCGGTGTGTGTGTGTGTGTGTGTGTGTGTGTGTGGAGCTGAGTTGCTGTGGGTCGCATCTACAGGCACTTTCATTCCTGTGTGTGTGTGGGTGGGGGGTGGGGGGGGGGGGGGGTTTGGGGGGGTTAAGGATACTCTGCTGACCTGAATCTTGTTTAAAGGGACAATCTTACACTTTTGCATGCAACACGGCTGAAATAATCACCGAAAGCCCCACTTTTAACCCATTCACGTGTGCATCAGTGTATCAGCATCATGTCAATCACTTTTGAAGCCAGATTTCTCAGAGCCAAGTGAAGAGAGAGAGAGAGAGAGACAGAGAGAGAGGGAGAGAGAGAGAGAGGGTGGGGGGGGGAAGAAACAGTTAGCATTATATATTCGAATTTGTATAGCCTTTTAGAAAACTTTCGTATCATTATTTTCTCTGTTTGTAGACTATATAAACCGCAGTTTTCTGTTTAACCCAATGTTAAACAGTGCAAAGAACTAAGAGAACGAGAGCAGTGTCTTTATAACAGGTGCCTATATTGGGGGGGGGGGGAGAGAAAGAGAGAGAGAGAGAGAGAGGGGGGGGGGAGCAAGGCCAAGGCCATATGTTGCTTTCCACATGACATTGAAGTCAATCATTAACATTTTCCTAAAGATTTATTCCACCTTTCCTCAACTTTGTTCTCATTCCGTTTCCAACGTTGGAAATGATGTATTGGATGGAGACCTTTTCAGAAAAGAAAAGAAAACACACACAAGTCGTTGAGTTGTCAAAAGACAATAGCCTTTATTTATAAGTCTGGGGTATTATTATGCATTTATAACTCTCTTGTATTCTGTTACCGCCAACACAAACGAGACTTTGCTGTGTTTTTATTCAAAATGTATTTCCAATGTGATTAGCAACATTTGATGATTGTGGCTGAATGATGTGGAGAAACGTGATGTAAGAATCCCCTCAAGTAGCACCGTGACAAACCGCACAGACCGTGCATTTCGCTGACTGCAAAGCACATTTCTATTTACTGTTATTAAGCATATGGTTCATTCTGTTGTTAGCAATTTCTTGCTGGATGTAATTTTTTGAAAAATCTTACTGGGACAGAAAAACAAGTTCTACGAATCAAATGCTTGCAGCGTCCTTCACAATTAGAGCTGTGAATGAGTCATTTATTAAATTAAAACGCACGTCAGATCAATTATGTAAATAGTTCTCTTCTTAACAAGCAGTTATCCTGGTTTATTAGGATGGTAAACACCAACAATATTGCCCAGAAGTCCAGTTTCATAAAAGACCAAGTCTGTTGGGTTTTTTTTTAAAAAGGAAGCAATTGCATACTTCTGAAAACAGCCTCAAACGTGGCTGCAGTTTGTATGGAAACGTTTGCAATGGCGAATGCGATGAAAATGTTCTGCATTGCATTTGCCCAGAGTTTGCTGCAAGTCTCACATGGCCTGATCTGTTTATTACTGTAAATTGATCACATCTCCTGAGGGAAACCTGTGGGACAATGGAATGCGAAGCTGCTGTACAATACAATAACAACACTGTTGAAAGAGAAGGAACAAGGATTTGTGTTTGATGATTATTTTTTATTGTATTTATTTTAGGAGCGCTGTGATGCCTTCCCATTCTGTTGTAGTCTGAGCTCTTGTTTGTTTCACAAGTCTAATATAGCAACCAATCCACTAATATTCACCTCCGTTGCAGTCCAAGCAAAAAATCAACCAAGCCTTCCTTTGGTCTATTTCTTGTGTTAGGGTAAACAATCATTTCAGGTAGCAGTCCAGAGCTAAGCAAAGTTGTTTTGTTTTCTTAGTTTGAACTGTACAGTAAAAATACGTTTGTATAGGGCCTTCACGTCTCATCTGTGGCATAAAACACAGGTTTGCCTTATGTGAATGGTTTGATAATAATCCTTGCATTTGCATAAGGCGCCTTATCACGTCTTCGAGACATCTCACAGCACTTCACAGAATATACTGTAAATTGAATTGACTCTGTATTTAATGTCATATTTAGCTGCTAACCGCAATCCTGTATACTGAACTTCCTTTGTTGCTTTGAATGGAGCATTAGGTCCGATAAATAGGTTACCAGGAAGGGTGGCTGTAGTGGTAGAACATTTTTTCAAAAAAATGCTTGATGGCGTGATGTGGGGACAGCAGAGTGAAATCCAATGGATCTAAGGGCCTTCTTCATCCAAACCAATCTTGCACGGTATCCTTCAGAATAGTGAAACCTTTGGATTGACCAGTTGGGCCAGATACCTCTAGGTGGTCAGGTGGATCTGTGTGAAATAAATATATTTGGAAAAGCTAGATCCATTATGGTTGAACCCAACTTATTTAGAACCCAAATAATATTTAAAAAATAAGTGAAGAGAAGGCACACCACCACTTTCTCTGGGAAACAAATGATGATAATAATAATAATAATCCTTGCATTTGATATAGTGCCTTATCACGTCTTCGAGACGTCTCAAAACGCTTCACGGAAAATATTTAAGTGAATTGACGATATATTTTGATGTGCAATAAATGCACCCAAGTCCCGAGAAAAATGTTTCCCCCCCAATACATACACATTACTGAATACCAAGAGTCCCTAATAATGAATCTTCCCAAAGATCTTCAATTTATTCCACAATATGAATGTTTGCAAAGTATCGTGTTTATTTGAATGATGAGGTATTTCTGTACTGGAAGGAATAACATCTCCCCCCAAAAAAAATCTTACCATTGAATCTTAAGTTGCCTTAGGATGGTATCTATCAGTCCCCTTATTGTGTTATTGTGTTGGGGCTAGATGGATAAATTATAGCGTATTTTGATGATTTTATTATCTACACAAAGTGGTGATATTAAGTAAAATAAACAGTTTTCTGTTAGGGAAGTGTTGGTTGGGATGGAGAAAATAGACCACCGAAAGGGAACACAGCTTTCATCGTTCAAAGACAAAAGGAGACTTGGTGTTTTCAATTAATTGAGCTGTTTTATGCTTCCCAGACAACAGTTACTTCTTAGTAAGACCGTGGGAACCTCCCCCCCCCCCCCCCCCCCCCCCCCCCCCCCTTGGCTGGACAGTCACCAGATCAAAGCGAAGTGCAGTTCGAATCGAGTGTTAAAAAGTGACAACTTTCACTCTCAACACAGTTCACATCAAACGAAAACATTTACACGATCGTTCGATGAATCTCTGAACCTGTGTTTACTGTAATAAAAGTCGCAATCAAAGTTTCCTGTCCGTTTCCTCGCATTTTACGACGTGTCGGTCAGTTCAGCGTTAAAGAGTGGGTTGAGTTAATTACTTAAACCGTATTTGTCCAGTTATGCGGGGAATATGGGGCTGTTTATTGGACACTGCTGTATTCTTTGGGTAATCCATGTGGCCTTTCATTTGCGAGGCTTATTTCACTCACTTATAAAGACTCAGTCGATTTTGAATGGGTCCTAACTTTATTTTAAAATTAAAACACTCCGTCAGTCAGTGGAGATTGGATTCACGTCGATAAACCCCAACTTCAAATAACATTGAAACCTCTTTTTAATAGATGGGTTTGAAGTATTCAGCAGATCCAATTGAAAACTGCAAAATTGTATTTAATCGCACCTGGGCTCTTAATATATTGGATTGCCACACGTTTCGCAAGAGCAGCGACTTATAAAATTCATCCTTTATAAAGATTCAGCACAGGGGCAGCAGCAAACCGAATTGAACTGGAGTTGTATCGTTTTTTTTAAGATTTTTTTTTTAAAAAAAGGCATTTTCTGTAAAGTTAAACGAATTCGATCAGGAAACGTCTTCTGACGATTTGTGAAACGTGATTAAAAACTAATCATTTTTACACCAGATCGCTAAAAACCCAGGAAAGCTGAAAAGTTCTTACTGGTGTATTTTACGAAGCACAGTGCAGTATTGATGAATCTAATTTAAAGCTCTCACTGTAACTCACACAAGAACATACGTGTGAGCAAACCCTTCCATCGGTTATCTCTTCCCCCCCCATCCCAAAAAAAAGACAGAAACTGATGTTTAAACTTTATTAATATGTCGTTAATAGCAACATAAACATAACACAAGGGAAAGCCAGAAGCCCGCAAGCATCTCTATCAAATAAATTAGAATGTATTTCATTGAATACAACAAAATAAACGCCTCCTACAATATAGGCTACGGATAAGAACCCTTCAGCGTGAAGTACTCTGTGATTTTTTTTTAAGCACCACATGGGAGGACACGACTTGTCCTGGAAGTGTTTCGAGAAGCATATCTATGAGATACATAAGGAAGAGTCGAACATCTGGAGAGCGAGTGCAATCCCCGTCACCAGGGTCTCCACACGTCCGAAGACGCTGTGCCCGTGTGGTCCATCACAGACGGGTCTCCCGAGCTGTCTGGTGGCTGAGGATTTGCTGCGGGGCTCAGAAATGGTCCCCGATCGCCCCCGAGCACTTTACATCCACGGTCGGAGCCGATTCTGTCTGGAGACGAGTGGGGTAACGCATCGCCAGCTCCCGGGGCAGTCTGAGTGACCGGGGTCTGAGAGGGCTGGAGGGTGGGAGGGGGTCCCGTCCGGCGAGAATCCTCACTGGACCGAGGCAGAGACTTCAGCAAATGGTTCAGCAAACGCGCTCCCACGGTTTTGTCCATCCAGTCGCAGGTTAGCAGCAAGTTGTGGACTTCGTGCATGCACTGTATGTACCCGGCACTGTACCTCTGCTGGGCTTCCACACCGAGCTTGGCATCCGCTGAAAAAGAAAAAAAAAATAATAAAGGAAAGTGTTACCAGTGACACATAAAGACGAGATGCATCTTTCCAACTCCCAAAATTACGAACTGCATTTCCAAGCGTTAAAACAGCTCCTTATACACTGAATTGCGTCGGTTGTATTTTCCCCTCCACCCCCTCAACGGCGATCAAACACACTTCCAGCCCATTCCAGCAGTCAACGTTCTCCCACCACATGTGGGGGTCGTTCTGCACATCTGCTTTGTTGGGTTTTTTTTTTACAAAAAGATCCAAAAAGACAAAAAAAATAAAATAAAATCAGACGGGACGTTGCACTCACCCATCAGTCTGTTGCTTTGAACGTTCTGGAGATGTTTCACAGTCATCTCGAGGATATCTGCCTTTTCGAGTTTGGACTGCTGTGAGGACAACAAAAACAAGAAGGGTGATGAAGGGCCACGGATGAATTCGAATAATTAAAATCAAATTAAAAAAAAATAAAATAATAATAATAATAATTTAATGTATAGCCCAAAACTCCAGCAGTGCAGGTCAGGTACTCACGTCGAGCCGGAACGCACCCACTATAGTTTCTTTCAACTGATCGAGGCAGTTGTTGATCCGCTCTCGTCGTTTTCTTTCGATGAGGGGTTTCCTTAACTGCAAGGGCAGAAAGTAACGAGGGGTGTGAGTACATTTAATGCAGGACGTCCTGTTGGGATTCCCGGAGCGCCCTGACACAGGTATCCAAGTGCAATGTGTGAGCCTCATCCATACCTTTCGTTCGTCTTTAGCATTTGAGAGTTTTTCCACGTTGTTGGGACAGGTCGTCGCAGTCATCTTCCACGGGGCTGAAAGCTGAATGGAGCAGATTGTGCTGCTCCTTTCTCGCTATCCGAAGCCGTGGTGTGTCGTCCCTCTGCGCTGAGCTCCTATTTATATCCACGAATTTGCATGTGAATGCGTGAGTTCCTCAGCTCAGGCACTTTCCCACACTTGGGGTCGCGGCCAGAGGCGAGTGTCCATCAATCAGCAGTGCACAGCTCATTGCTCGCACTCAATGGCCAGCCCCCGCCCGCCCAAACAGCAACAGATGGCTTAAGCCAGCAATCTCTTGCAGCCAAATCGCATCTCCCCCCCACCCCCACCCACCCCCACCCTTCAGCACTCAAGAGCAGTTCGCATGGCTCTCCAAATCACTTCTCCTGCATTCCCATGCGTTTGGTAAGCGCTGAGAACGAGCTGGTGTGGCTCCTGTTACACCTGGGAACCCCGTCTCTTTTGATGGCAATGAATGGTGTCAATTTTATATCAGCAGAACATGAAACGGATCCTCCCTTTCTCAGTCCCAGCTGACAGTTTGGGGTTTGTGTTTTAGCTTTGTGTCATTTTTTTTCCTGGCTGCATTGTTGGGTATCTGCTCATTGTGCACAGGGATACTAATTGTCTTGAACGTTGCTGTATCATATTTTTGTGTATTTCCTCCACATGTTAAGCTCCTCCTGAAGGCAGTCACTTATGCTAAATAAAGCACAGTCCACTGGTTACTGGCGAGTACCTTTGCCCAAATTGACATGTAACCGATATGGTCCTTCAACATTGTCTCTACCCTACTCTGCCATGAGAAAAATCTGGTCTCAGTGGATGGCCACACGCCCACAAGGCTGATTTGTGCTGCTATCCAACCCAAGAGTGCTGATGTCGATTGCAATGTTCCTTACTGTCCAATGGTTGAAATCGGATATGATACCTTTTCAAAATCTAAGTGGCTATATAATGTATGTAAAATAAAACTTTTTAAAAAAAAATCTTTCATTTTCTTTTACAAACTGCTGTATCAAGAGTCAGAAATAAAAAAAATTACTACTCGCCAGACAATGCGCAAAATAGACAATTGTCAAAATAGTCCTTTTCATTCAGTTCACAAATTTTCAGATTTGTCAAGCTTCATTTATTCTGCGTAACAATTGCTCATTTTGATTTATTTTCTTTAAAATTGGAATTATTGAGAACTGGATTTTATAGTACTAAGTTTATAGTTATCCTTAATTGTTAATTAAGTCTTGAAATGTCTCAAGGCACTTCATGGGATTTTCTGTAGAGTGTAGTGGCTATATTTCAGTTCTTTCTAGGTTCTTAAAAGAACTAAGCAGAAAGCCAGCTTCAAAAAGGTTTAAGAATCTGACAAATTCTGGATGCTCTGAAATATTACATTCATAGAATAAATCTAGACCAAGAGCCAATTTCTATCCATGGGTGATCATGAGTCAGATGGGACAGCAGTACTCTGGGTGCTGCTCATGACAGACAAGCGATCCATCCCATTCAGCTCCTGATAACCCTGTCAGCCAAAGCCTAAGTAGGTAGAGTTGTCCTAGTTGGCCAAGCAGCAGGAAGCTGAGACAGTTCTCTCAATGGAAAGCTATGCAGTGTTAACTGGTTTCACTCTAGTAGTAATAATAATAATAATAATAATCCTTGCATTTGATATAGCGCTTTTCACGTCGGGAGGACGTCCCAAAGCGCTTCACAGAACACACTGTAAAGTGAATTGACTGTATATTTGTGGGCGAACACGGCAGCCAATTGCGCACAGCAATGTCTCACAAACAATCGTAGATTGAAAAGGACCAATTTATTATCGTTTTTGGTTTTGGAGGGATTATTATCAGGCGTGTGGAGTAAGGAAACTTGCCCAAGGTTTTGCCCTGCCTGGAATTGAACTCAGGTCTCCCGCTTGCAAAGTGAGTGCTCTAACCACTGAGCTACAGGACTCCACAATGCTCGAAAGCATTGCTCTCTTGCCAACCTATGGCAATACATTTTGAGATTCGGTAAGCAAGATGCATTCCTCCTGGAAGACACTAGCATTCCATTCTCGACACTGGGCTAATTTCTGACCACTTTACTTTATGATCATATACAAATATATTTGCAGCCATAACCTAACTCTGAATGCTCCAAACTCAGAAAAAAACACAATAGTAAATTGGTAATGTTTGACTTGCAAAAGTGGAGTCCTGTAGCTCAGTGGTTAGAGCACTCGTTTTGCAAGCGAGAGACCTGAGTTCAATTCCAGGCAGGGCTAAACCTTGGGCAAGTTTCCTTACTCCACACAGAGCCTAATAATAATCCCTTCAAAAACAAAACAATAATAAATTGGTCATTTTCAATCCACGACTGTTTGTGGGACATTGCTGTGCGCAATTGGCTGCCACGTTCGCCCACAAATATACAGTCAATTCACTTTACAGTATATTCTGTGAAGCGCTTTGGGACGTTTAGAAGATGTGAAAAGCGCTATATCAAATGCAAGGATTATATTATTAAATATTGTTTGGTGTTGTGTTATAATCGTGTGGCAGCCTGGCTGAGTGATAGCACTCTCTCATCTGAGTTAGAAGGTTTTAGGTTCAAACCCCTAGGACTAGGAATCACAAAGTCTAAGATGGCACTCCAATGCAATACTGTGACCTAAATCCTTACTGTCCGCTATAACGATTGTGATGTCCATTACAGAATAACACATTCAGAATGAATGGGCAATGCTGCTTTTTCACTGCTTGTGGTGAATGAAGGAGAAGAAAACGACACAAGGAACAAGAGACAGAAGGCTAAACAGAAGGTTGAAGTCTGAGGTTAGGAATTACCCAAGCAGATGTATGTTCTGTCAGCTAAATAATCCCATGGAGCTTTCAATCAAAAGGGTGTTTAAGGCATTTGTGGGCTAAAGAGACTATCCCAGAACTTTTTGATCTCATTAATCCTCACATTAAATAGATTAATGTGAGTATAACATGTGAAGATGGCACAAAAATATTACACTTTGAGATGTTTCCATGAACTAATTGATTGCAACTTAGCCTAAGACAATTTGCAGTCTGTCCATGTATTTAGCAAATCACCAATATAATTTATAGCAAGGCCTCCAAATATAATGGATTACTCTGTGACTAAGGCCTATTCCACATTTTTATAGTGAACAAAGGGTTAGGGAATTGAATCTCGGTTTGTGCTAAGTTATTTGATATTTTGGGGAGGAGGCAATTGGGGTGCTAATATAGTCCTATAGCTCCTGGTTTAAGGAGAGAAATCAGACAGAGTTTCTGCTACTGAGGTCCACAGTACTACCTAGCTTTAGCCTGTAAGAGCATTTGTCTTAAATTTCAGATCCCGCAAAATCGTGGAAGATTCTTTGATTTGGAAGCCGTTTTTTTTCAAGAGCTGAGGTAAACCATCTTTCAGATTAAAGCTGAATGTAAGAATTTTCCACAATTCTGCCCCATCTTAAATTTTAAGATGAAGATTTGTATCGGGCTCAGACTAGGTGGTCTATTGGGCTTCAGGTTTCTGACCAATGACCCTAACCTTGTGAGTGTTTGTGGACTGGATGTTAGATATACTTGGATTTCATCATTGCCAGCCAAGCCCAATTCTAACAGTCTATCAATACTCATTGTCAAGACATATGAATAATAGCCACTTGAGTGAGGTACTGAGGTGCCCAGTATGAGGGGGAAATGAGAATCAATGGGGGAGGGCAGAAAAGTGGCAGAGGTTTTTTTTAAAAAAAATGCGCTTGCATTTTCCATTCAATAAAATTACAACATTTTAGAATAGATTAGTGATTTATTCGAGCTTGTTGGACGTAAGGTTAGCAGGTGCAACATCCTCGGAGCATAAGTTTACACTTGACCCGACAATTAACAGCAGAGAGGATTCTCTTCTCCTGCCTGTGGAAGTGCGTGTATTTTGTAACCAAAGCTTTTAAATGTCCATGATTCCTCCCTCAAGCTCTGGTAACTGCTTTGTGAGTGATGGACTGGTGAGGGGGTGGGGGCTGTTAGGGCAGCTTCTCAGAAGCAGATGTCCCTTCATTCGATCCAAAGTTTCTTTTTTTGTGGGGGGAGGGTTGGGGTTGCCCATTGCAGCCGTTCTGTTTGCCTTAAGACACGCGACTGCCAGGCGAATGGACGAACGTGGGAAATTCTTGCGAACAATAACCTCCTTTCACAATATTTCCTAACAACCGTGCAGATTAACTGCGTAAAAGCAGCGCTGCGTAGCCAGGGGATGCGGGCCATAAGGTGAATCCTTTCAGAAGGCAGTGCACCAGTTTAATCGCCATGGAAACTGGGACACACATATGTATGCATCACTCAAGCGAATTTGGGTGTCCAAGGACAATTTGCATGTGTTTTTATTTTTATTGACTCCACGTTTTCCCCTTTTTCGTTCTAATACATGTTAGACCGTGAACTTTTTCCACCTTTACTGTTGTAAACAGGGGAGATTGGTGATTGTTATCTCCAGCTAGTTTAGGTGGATCAGATTTTCCAGTTTGGTTTGGCTTCTTTATACTGGGCAATCCCATTGACATTTTTGGATTGGGTTTCGACCTCAATCGTTGTTGTGGAAAAATCTGAAAAGGATCAACTTTGTCCAGTCTTAATTAAAGACTTACTATTATTAACGCATTGTCCTGTATGTATTCAGTTTGCTAACAATAATAATAATAATCCTTGTATTTGATATAGCACCTTATCATGTCTTCGACGCAGCTCAAAGCGCTTCACAGAATATACTGTAAAGTAAATTGGCTACATATTTTGTGGGCGATATAAAATGCAACCTGTACATATTCGTACAATAAAAACAACAACAAGAAGATTACATTTGTATAGTGCCTTTCATGTTGGGAGGATGTCCCAAGGCGCTGGACAGAGTACAGCATTTCAAATGCTGTATCTATCAAATGTATTTGACTCTGTGTGTGTGTGTGTGTGTGTGTGTCTCTCTCTCTCTGGTATTCCACACTTGTTAGGCAGTGGGTGGATTTAGCTTACACTGGATTTGTTTCAACCCAGTTCCTCTCTCTTCCTAACTAT